CTCTGCGCCAGGCCCAGCCGGCCTGCTCTAGCTGGTGTGGAGGTAAGAAGCCAGTTGGCTGAGTGGGAAATGATTTCCTCTTCCTTCTTCTTCCCTCACTGTCAACATTGCTGTCACCATGATTGTCATTTAGAATTCTGTGTCCTTCAGGGCAGTGCTTGACTGTGTGGCAGACTTCCCACAGATCCTTGTGCACTGTGGGAAGGCCTGGGGACACCCCAGAGAGGCACTGCATGACAGAAACGGGCCTTGTCCTCTGCAGGCCAGGCCAGGCAGAGGTGGAGGATGCAGCCCAGACGTGGGGGGCAGTGCAAATGGGGGCTGCAGAGAGGAAGCACACCAGAGCTGAGAGGCCAGCTGTCCACCTGCAGGGCTATGACTTAGCCACCTGGGATCCTGGATACTCAGGGACGGCGACCCTGCCTGAGCAGGGCCTGTTGACCAGTGGACATAGGTGTTACGAGGCAGCCTGGCCATCTGGAGCTGAAGAGGAGGGGACAGCGAAGGGGGTTCATCCCCACCTGGAGACTGTTATTTTATGTATCAACTTGGATGGCGGCAGCTGCGTCCCGACCTTTAACCTGACGCTGGCCTAGATGTTGCTGAAAAGACTTCTTTTGTTGTTGTTTTGTTGCTGTTTTGTTTGTTTGTTTTAGACAAAATAACATTTAAGTAGATGGACTATGAGTAAAGCAAATGATCCTCAGTGGTGTGGGTGAGAAAGAGACCACACCCCTGAGCAAGCGGGTCTCTGCCGCCCGGGCAGCTCTGCCTCAGTGCCCAGCCTGCAGGCCTGCCCTGCAGACTCCAGACCCCACAGCCCGCACCACAGGGGCCCACAAACTTCTGTCTCTCCCCCACTGACTTGGTTTCTTCAGAGAACCCCAACTAATACCCATGTTCCTTCAGATAGAGAAATCCCCAAATCTGTGAGCGTCTGTCCTCCAGCATATGCAAGAAGTGGACAGAGCACTCAGAGGTGGCCGGGTGGACAGAGTGATGGTCTCCCAGGGAAGACATGCTCCCCAGCTGCCTCACAGCTAGAATACAGCAGGAGGTCCCTCAGGTTCTGCCCAGAGTCACCACCTTGAGTCTGGGACTCTTCTGGAGCAGCCCACAGTAAGTGCCCAGGGTAGGTGGGGTGTCCACCTCGGCCATGCTGCTTGCTGAAATAACGCTGTGGGCATAGAGGCCATGCACTCACCACCAGGGGCTGTCGCCTGCCTCACAGTCCACTCCACCAAGTCCTCCTTCCTGTGCTCTTCTTGGAAGGCTGGTGCTGAGGAGCTGTTGGCAGGGACCCCCCTCTCCTTTCCTGTCTTCTGGCATCTTGCTCCCTGAGGAAACCAAAAGGGGCCGTCGTTTTCCAGGAGTTGAGGGTCACTTCCTCTGTGAAGCATTTACCTGCCCAGCAGGGGAGTCTATGGGTCACGCACGACCTCCCCACCTAGTGTGTGTGTCTCCTGGACTTCCAGGTGGAAGAGGAAGTCACGCTCTGTACCACCTGGTGTCAACGTGACCCTCTTAGAAGTCACTTAATGTCGGTGGATCTGAGGTCATTTCACAGTCACACACGAGTGGACTCACGGCCAACTTGTCTACGTTGCAAGCTAGTGAGTGGAGAAACGAGGCCTAAGGCCACAAGAGCTGTGGCTGAACCAAGTCTCAACAAAACAAAGCAAAACAGAAAAAAGAGGTTAGAGATGTGGCTCAGTGGCCGAGT